GAATATCCAATAATAGTAGAGACTTGGGTGAGTTGAAGTATCCCACACCACAAAAATATAATGACTGGGTAATAGGACATTATTCTTCTGGAAATTAAAAGGGAACCGAGTCAAGGTTAACAGATTCGTTCTACATTCAACACGCGTAGTCATAGAATGTTATTCGCTTGAAATTATGGTCTACATGTATTGCAATAAACTTTGTTGATTTTAACTTCATTATTAGCGTGTTTGAGTTGGAGTCTGGACATGAAAAATCACGTTTTATCATAAGTAAATAATATCAGCTTCTCCGTAAATGAATACATGAACGTGAAGAGAGGATAAAATTACGTTTGAAAATGAAAATCAAACACGCACTATATTTAGGCTATCATGTGCGCAATTCCCTTGCTAGCCTACTTTTCTTACATACTAACATTTGCAGGAAAAAAAAGCTTGGAGTCGCATTTTCGTTGACTTTCAGAATACATTATTGGGATCAAACATAGCGTCTGAATTGAAAATTCCCCTTCTTAGGAATAGTTCCTAATCTTTGAATTGGAATTTCTCCTTCGATTATCTTTGACTATTTGAACAAATTTTGGCCACATTACATGACATGACACGACACATCTATATATATAAGTATAACTAAAATGAAGATAACTAGGTAACAAATTGCTCATTCTGAAATTTCTTGCTTTTCCACTTTTGTTGATATACTTGATAACAAATAATGGCAAGTGCACTCACAGAAGATCAGATTGCTGAATTCCATGAAGCCTTTTGCCTCATTGACAAGGACTCTGATGGTGTGTTTCTTTTCTTTTCACCTTGATGATTTCTTGGCTTGGCTTTGATTTTGATGTGAAAAAGGAATTTTGAATTGATTTTGACTTGCTGGAATTATTGGTGATGTTTAGGATTCATTACCGTGGACGAATTGGCAGCTATTATCCGATCACTAGATGGGAATCCAACAAAAGAAGAAATCCAAGACATGATTGGTGAAGTGGATGTTGATGGGAATGGGAGCATAGATTTTGAAGAGTTCTTGAATATTATGGGTAGAAAAATGAAGGTAAGATAAACTAGTCATAGCATTAACATTGACGAAAAGTTTAGCAGTTTGAGGCTAATGATATTATGTTACACTCAAAATTTATAGGAAACTGTAGCCGAAGAGCTCAAAGAAGCATTCAAAGTATTTGATAGAGATCAAGATGGATACATATCTGCCACTGAGGTAAATTAACATGCTATTCAGATCAAATTAAGTATTTGTTCGTCTGTTGTTGGTGTAAAGAAAAACAAATTTTTATTTATTCAATAATTCATTTGTTTATTCACTTTTGATTTTTAACAGCTGAGGCACGTAATGATGAATTTGGGAGAGAGGCTGACAGAAGAAGAAGCTGAACAAATGATTAGAGAGGCGGGTTTGGATGGGGATGGACAAGTTAACTTTGAAGAATTTGCGAGGATTATGATGCTCAAATAATCTCATTTGTAAATACTTTTATTTCTTTGTACAATGGCTCATGTAATGTTGTTGAAAATTTTACATGTTGTTTGGCAGTACATGTATGATTATTAAGACGATTTTAACCTCACTTATGTTCATTCAAACAGGGTTAAATAATGTGGTCTAGAATTTTATTGCAAGCAAGAAAAGAAGCAATAAGAAATAATGATGAATGATTTTATTATAATTATAGTGGAAAACATGTGCCCTATCGAGGCTCGGGGGTCGGGCTGTCCCCGAGGAGTAATCTCTAATAGTCATCAGGTATACACATCCCTATCGGAAGGAGGAGAGCACTTGATGACGACGACCGGCCTTGACGCTTGTGAACCGGCCTTCCTAAAGATCTGGCTTAAAGAACGTCGAGAAGGATCTTG